AATTCACAACAAATAATTCACCTGATTACCCATTCTCGTTATTCTCACATATTCATCCTAAATACTAACCTCAAGGGACCTATCCTTAGGATGATGATCATCAACGGGTGGACAATATTTTCTTGGGGGATTCCTCTAGCAACATGAGTCCATAAGGCAACCATGGGAGGGGGATAGATTGCATTAATGAAACTATAGTTCACTAACACCAACAGGTTGCGAGTCTGCTAGCATTTCCACTCGACTGTCTAGAATATTTGTAGTCGTCATCTATACTCTGCTAGACAACCAGTTCATCAAAAGTTAAGGCCTCTCATCATCATCTCATTATTTTCATCACCCATCACTACACTATAGATTTTATATAAATATATGAAAATACGTATCTGATTAAATCAAGTAAAATCATATAATTCATTTAACACAGATATCAAGTAATACAGATAATTGGCACACATAACATTTAGGGTTATTTTTTGAAGATCTGTGCAACCATTTTTGTCTGCGCAGACAACGCGCATACATATGCCCTCGTAGAGTGTTTATTTTTTAGAAGTGCACAGATCAAAAAACGTCTGCGCGAGGTCTTCCTGGCGCTGACATGGGCGACTATCTTCAAAGGTCTTCAAACCTCATTTTAACCTAAACAAAAAAACATAGGCCACCAGTTTTTTTTCCTGAAAATACATTTTTAATGTTTATGAAATGAAATTAAGTTTGAAAAATCAATTTATTTTCACAGCTGCAGACGTTAAAAACAAACAATCTTCTTATTGCAGACTGCATACATTTGGTCAACCTCTTCTGTCGTAGAGTCTTCTAGATGTGGTCCGCAGATTGCAGACATTTTGGCTTCAAAAAAACAAACAACACCTTAATTATCTAAATACTTTATATCTATGTATAAGTTGAAAGTAACTATACATTCACTAGTTAAACTGGATAACTGGAAGGTTGGACAACGCTTCACTTCAGCTCTTGGATTTTCCTTTGATGTGACATAGGTTCAATTATCACTAAGTCTTACTTTATTATCTCTTATAACTAATTAATAGTCTAGATTCCTCAACGATCCCAATGTCTACATCATGATCTATCAAGTAAGGAATAACCAGGTAGTATCATATCAGAGGTAGGGTCTATTCGGTATACAAGGTATACTTTTTGGAAATATCACTTTAAACACCTCACTAAATCTATCCTAGACATCATCCCCATAAGTAGATCAATCAGTAATATAACCTTGGAACCACTGACAAATCTTATTTATAAAATCATAAAAACGACTATGAATTTAAATATAAATTACACTAAAATAAAATAGAGTGTAATTTAACTTACAGAGATTCCCTAGACAAAAGTCTAAAAAAAGAATTGCAGAACCCAAGTTTGGTAATTGTCGGGATCCTAAGGCTCACAAGGCTTCATCGAAGGCTAAGAACTAAAGAAAATGGGTTATTTCTGCAAAAAAAAACTCGAGAGAGAGAGAGAGAGAGAGAGAGAGAGAGAGAGAGAGAGAAAGAGGTGGAGAATGTGTGAGAAGTGAATTGAATTCGAAAGCTATTTATACTTGAAAAAATCATTGTGCATCATCCACCTTGGCTAGGCACGTCCCGTAAATGGTCGGGAATGGTGACATGGCTAATAGGCAATTTAGATGTTCTATATATTAGAAAAATCATAACTTCCTCTCATGAAGTCAGAATTAGATGTTCTCTATATGCACGCTCTTAGTTTTATGATTACTAAAACTTTCATTTAGATCACTTAGGCTAATAAGCGATCTATCTCTGATTCAATATTTACGAAACTCGATGTTGTATCGGGTCGAACACGAAACTTCAATACATGATAACTTCTTCGTTATAACTCGGATTGGAATGTTCATTATATATCTGGAATCCTCATCATGGACACTTCATCTTTCATCAAGGATATTTGTCCTAATTATTATTATATTTATGACGTATATTTTATTTCTCTTTTTATTATATCATTTTAAGCACATATGTTACATGTAACTACACAAATAACACATAATCCTCAATAGTTATCTTATTTACTTCATATAAAGGTTACAATTTTCGACCATTACAAGTATACCATCTTATTAATTCCTACCGAGAAACACGAGCGTTACACTTTCCCTGGTGCTTCTGGGAAAGGCCCCAATATATATATATATATATATATATATATATATATATATATATATATATATATATGTATGTATGTATATATAAACGCGAGCGTTACACTTTCCCTAGTGCTTCTAGGAAAGGCCCCAATATATATATATATATATATATATATATATATATATATATATATATATATATATACACCCCATTGGACGAAAGGCCACAGGCTACTGATGTTAATCATTGGTGTAGCTGAATTTCCTAGGATCGGTGCGTGATTTGGCATTTCTCACATTTATAGATTATATTTTCTATATCTTGGTACATGGTCAGCCAGTCGTATCCGATTCTATATTTTCCTCACTATTGTTCGTGTGCCCTCATGTGCTCCTGCGATACCTTTGTGCAATTCGCTTATGAGGTATTTTTTTCTCTTTGTCATTCACACAATGTAGGAGAGGTGCTATGTATCCTTTTTTGTATAACTCTCCATTATGTACTAGAAAAGATGGTGCTTTGATTCTTAGCTTTCTAGCTTGTTTATCATCTTGTAGTAGTTTTCCTTCCATCAGGTATTCCACTGCTGGCTTCCTCTATTTATTTGACTTGGACTATTCCTACTAACACTTTCTTGGTTAGATGAGGGAATGTTGAGGATGCTAGTTTTCTTAATGCATCCGCTCTTTTATTCTTTGATCTTGGTATATGTTCTAACTTGAACCCTACAAACTGATTTGTTAATTTCCTTACTATGGTTGCGTATAAAGTAAGATTTTTTCCTCAAGTCTCGTATAAACCATTTGTTTGGTTGGTAACAACCATTGATTCTATAAAAGTGTTTATGTGTTGACAACCTAATTTGATAGCTATTTGTAATCCTGTGATTAATGCTTCATATTCTGATTCGTTATTCAATGTCTGGAAATCAAACCTTAAATCATATGTTATCTTTTGTCCTGTTGGACTTATCAATATTAATCTGGCCCCTACTCCCTCTATGCATGAAGATTCATTGGTATATAACTTCCATTTTTTGTTTCGCGTTCTCTCTTTGTCTCCATCCTTAGCTTCCGTTTTCCCCACTAACAATACTTCATTATGACCTATTATTTCAACTACAAAATCAACCAATGCTTATGCCTTAATGTTGGTTTGGGGTTTGAATGTGATTTCATGCTCTCCTAATTCCACAACCCATTTAGTTGTTCATCCTAACTTTTCTGGCTTTAATAACACATATCGTAATGGTGCATTCATGAGGACTTCTATATTTTGCTCTAGGAAATACCTCATCATTTGTAAGGCCATGTTTACCAGTGATAGTGCCAGTTTTTCCATATCGGAATATCCAATCTCCGCCCCTTGTAATATGCGAGTCACGAAGTATATGGATATTTGTTTTATCCTCCATGTTAGCTACCAGTACAACACTGGTTGCTGTCTTGGATGTTACTAAGTATATTGTTAGAATTTCTCCTTGGATTGGCAATGTTAAGGTAGGTCATTCTGGTAATGGTATTTTAAGTTTCATAAATGCATAATCCGCATCCTCTATCCATTGGAAATCTTTTTGTCCAATACCCTTTTTAGCGTTTTATAAAATGTGAATGTCCTTTATGTTGACTTATCTAAGAATTACCCCAATGCTACTAATTTTCATTTAGTGCTTGTACCTCTTTTACCGTCTGTGGTGAGCAAATTTCTAGTAATGATTCTATCTTCTTTGGGTTAGCTCTTATTCTTTCCTTCGTAACGGTGTGTCTTAGGAATTTTCCATCTTTTGTCCCAAACAGACAATTTTTTGGGTTTAATTTCATCACTACTAGAAAACAGCCCTTTAATGACGCGCAAACAATGACACGCGGTGATTTACGATACGCAAAAGCGTGTGCCCTAAAAATAATGTTATCTCTTCTAAAATTTGAAGGATAATGGACACGCTTTTATGCGTGCCCTAAAATTAATGTCGAACAAAAAAAAAAAAAACACGGAGGGCACTTATTTAAAAATGGGTGACGTCTAGAAATGTCGCTTTATATTTTTTTAATGAAAGGCGCGTTCTCTTGTTTTGCAGCTGGGGGGAAACAAAAATCCCAAAATTTTGAAAGGCCGCCATTGTTACCCTCTGCCTTATTTCCATCGTTCTTCTCTCTCTCTCTCTCTCTATCTCTCTCTCTCTCTGTCTCTCTCTCTCTCTCTTTTTCTCTCTCTATCTCTCTCACTCTAATACCGAAAAAAACCCTAATAACATCACCAATCCTCTTTTTTCCCACAACAGAATCACAATATGATCCCATCTTTTGAACAGATCAAACCCACAGGGGTTCTCGACGAAAGAGATACCGCTTCATACGAGCCCTAATTTCTCATCTGAATTCGTTAACTTCTTCAAATGGTTCTCATACTTTTTTCTCTCTCTACATTTTCTTCTCCTTCATTTCTCGATCCACAGAAGGTCAGGAGAATGCTGCGTCTGCAATCAGATTGCTAGGTCGTAATCCTGAGAGCGTTGAACGCCGGTGTATGCTCGGTGTTTAAGGTCCCATGAAAGAGTAAGCAGTTGTCGCCTAGGCTATATTGTTCGATTAACACAATTCATCAAACCCTAGAATCGTAAAGGAAACCTAGCCCCCATAGCTTTCTTCACACTTCACCTCCTTAAATCTCACCTCACAAAATCTCACCTCACGCTCTTATAGTTCTCTGTTTTTTGTGACTCGTTTCAAGGAGGTTCTTTTTCATTTCTCTTCAATGTTCGATATGTTTGATGCTACTTTAGATCATCAAGATAAGGACTAGTTGAATATCGAGAGGTAGTTTTATGGGCGTGAAGCTCTAAATGTGATTGCGTGTGAAGGAATGGAATTGAGCATTCCTCCCCCTGGGCTAATTCCCCTAGCCATGGCCTTCTTCACTCCAAACCAGGTATGAACATATATTTATGTGTATATATGTAAGTTAATTCATCGATGGTTGATTAGGTGTGTTTATGTTTTCAGTTGATACATATTAGTGCTTATTTGATCAAGGAAGTGGCAGGAACTTACAAAATGGTTCCTGTGTTAACCATGTTTAGTCAAAAATTGAATTCTTTTACAGTTTCAGTCCTTGGAACCTTGAAATAAATACTAAAATTGAAATGAAACCTTGAAATTAGGACCATAACTGAAAAATGCACCAACTTTGGACCAAACATGATAAACATCAGAAAGCACATAGACCATTTTTGTAATGTACTCTAATTTTAGGTTGCAAGGGCATTTCAGGCAGCGCCTAAACTTCTATGTTTGAAGATAAAGTTTCAATTCTACGTTATGCTTTGTAAAGGGTTTTTCAGGCAGCACCTAACCGGCTTATGACTAACAATGCCTACCTGGCTTTATTGGGCGCCTCGGTATGACTTCATATTCAGTATTGTATATATGAATTTTTTTCCCCTTTTAACAAACTAAAAAATAGTATCTTTTGGTACCAGTTAAATGCATCCACAATAGATGAGGGACTAAACTTCTATGACTCACAACATCGCTTTGAGCACTCATAACTTCTGTTGGTTCTTTTGAGTTCACTTCCACATGCGCCAAAGACTTTTCAGTGTCGCGTATTACAGGTACTGTTGTTTCCATTTCTACCCTTGTCCCTAGAAAATGTATTTTGTATATTTACTTCTCCATTTGATTTCAGGATCTTTTGATTTTGGCTTGCAGTCATGTTGTTTCCATTTATACCCTTGTCCCTGGGGAGTATCCTTATATTCTTATACTTATTTCTCATCTTCTATATATAATTTTATTAGCTTTTCTATCTTTCTGCAGTTATATTTAGTCGATTGGATCCAGGAGAAAAACTCATTATAGGTTGTCGAAAAGCAACAATTTCTGCTGAAACACAGGTATAATTCTTTTAACACACACATACATACACATTTATGCATGTATTATGTTAATGAGTGAATCTCTATGAAAAAAACAAGCAGAAAGGTGAAACAGAAGCTGTCAATGGTGTAATATTTTAAGGTGAGCTCTGATCTTATTAATACAACTCAACAAAAATATGAATTCAAATAAAATTAAAATTGATTTTATAGGATGCAAAGTCGGATCGATTGAAGCAACTATTGAAAAAGACCGAGAAGTATCTCCAGAAGTTTGGATCAGCAGAGCCTTTGAAGCAGATAATGGTCTAAATGATAATAGTGAATTTACTATTGAGAATGAAGATGAAACAGTTCAGGCCAAGGTATGTTCTATCTTTTGTTACTTTACACTCTTATAACCTTTGTTTGACTTTTAATATCTTATTAATAAATATTTTGGCTTCTACAACCTTACATGGAGAGCAATGAAAAGTACTATTTGATGTTTCATAGGTACTTCATTAACTTTTTTATTTCCTTCTATGTTATTGCTCTTGGCTTTAATCAGTTGTTTTATCTTTTCAAACTCATCATCGGTTCAATGTTGTAGTGTCAAAGAACTTCTAGCAGATGAAATGTACTTGGGGAAAACTGTTCAGGCAGTATGAGGTATAGGTGGGCAAAAGAATTAGTCCAAACTGATCCTAAAAATATGTATATGAACTAAATTGGTCCTGGACCAGTCTTGGACTGTTCAGTCCAGACAGAAGTCCTGCTCTGTCCTTCAAAATGTTACACATGGCAGTCCAAAACTGATCCTAAACAGGTCCAAAATTAAACTGGTCCAAAAACAAACCAGTCTCTTTTAGATCGAATCCAAACCAGTCTCTTTTAGATCGAATCTAAACTGTGAAGCAGGTTTGTTCTATGCCTCTATTCAACCCCAAAATCTATTCTTTTCATGATAAACAAACCCCATTTCTTTTAAAGGTAAGTTTTCAAAGATCAAGGGTGTAGGAGTCTTTAGTAATGATGCACATGATACAAATATTCCAGTAGAAGTGTGGAGATACTATTTGCTAACTAATAGACCAAAGGTGTAACTTTTATTCAGTATATAAATTAAAAATGTGATCTCTCACTTTTTTTTCTTGTTGCCTTCTCTTTCATTGATTATTGGGTTTACTTGTGTAGGTATCAGACATATTATTCACATGGACAGATCTTCAAGCAAAACTGAACACTGAGTTGCTGAATAATTTAGGCAATTTCATTAACCGTGTCTTGAGATTTATTTCTAAAGATCCAGGTTAGTAATTGGCACCAATTTAACCTAAATTAATGGGATTAAGATTTTAAGGGTACAATTTACATTATTTTCTACTTTCATGCCCTAAACCCTAAACCCTAAATGCTAGGTTCTTTTCTTGCACTACTATCTTATCTTTTTTACTTGAAAGTGGTATGAAGTGAATATTTGGATATGATGTTGAAGATTGATTATTGGTGATTTTTTGATTGAATCTGAAAAGTTTTGTTTTTGTTGACAGATTCAAGAGGTGGTAGAGGTTCAGGATAAAATTCCATCATTCTGGATGCTCCATCTGTTATCAAACACACTAGGAGATAAAATTGGTGCTTATGTGGAACAATATGTGGAGACAAAACTATAGCAGGTCAAGTTGCTGCACTTGTCCTTTGCCACACCAGAGAACTAGCTTATCATGTCATATTTTCATTTGTAACCCTCCAACAATTTGAAAATGTTAATTTTCTCCCATGTCTTACTCTTTGTATCTTGGGTGAGATTTGTTGCAGAGAACTAGCTTATCAGGTAACTAGCTTTCTCATTTCTATAAATTATACAAGATTGTATCTCATGCAAAATATTTATAATGTCTCTGTTTTTTATTGCTGAACAAAGGAAGGATACCCTTCAATATGATGTCCTTGTTCAAATAATTGAGATTTATAACGAGCAAGTTCGGGATACCCTTCAATATGATATTCTTTTCATTTAATAAATTTTCTCATCTCATTAAATGAAATCTTTGCACCGAATCTTCTTGGTTGGTTTACGGTTGATCAAAATAATTTTCCGGTTGATCAACTGATGAAAAATATGTTAATTTATATCTCCATCATTATACAGGTAAGATTGGTGAAAAACAAAGGCAACATTGAAATCAAGGGTTTTTGTAATAATTTGTAGCAATCAGGCATCCATGGAATCAATTCACGACTCTCTTGCTGAGGTATTGGTTAATTTGACAAAGGAGGTAGAGTTTCCTTTCTTTTCATTATGTTATACATTTTGGATGATAAATGTTTGTATTACCCTTTGATCTCATATGGTTTTTTTGGTGCAGTGTGAAAAATTATGGTCAAAAGTGTATGTTGTCTGGCCTAAAAGCAGAACTAGAAGCATTAAGACGAAGGCACTCTAATGTACTGTAGTTGATGGGTGAAAGAGATGAGGAGGTAAAATTACCTTTTCAATGTGAGTTGCTGCATCTTTAGCCTTACTTACAGTTCTGACTTCTGACTTCACTTATATACCTCTATGTGGTGTTTATAGAGAATTATCCATATGCTCACACAAATTTTTGTAGCTGATTACACATTAATTTAATTATGCAGGTTTTGAAGTTTTTGATGGAAAAAAATAGTGTTAATGCTCTTCATAGAAAAGTATGTTGGTATTTTAGGAAATTTGGCTAATAATTTAGTTAATTATATAAAAAATGTTGAAATGTTACATTTATCTACTATTGGAATGATTATTTGTATTACATTAACTTTTGTGCAATGTATTGTATTTTTTGTATATGATATGTTATTCTCTATTATGAGACATAAAATACAAATTTAAATCTGAAAATCAGTAAATCTATAATTAATTTTTTTTTAAAAAAAAAATTAAAATTACGATACGCAAAAATGTGTGTCGTGTTCATTTATGACATGGCCTTTCTTGACATGGGCTTCCTTGATACGCATTATGTATCATAAACACGCACGTCGTAAGGTTACGACACGCAAATGCGTGTCGTCTTCCTTTATGACAGGGCTTTCCTTGATACGCATTGCGTGTCATAACCGCGCGTCATAAATGCGCGTCGTCTATAGACGACGCGCAAAAGAGCGTCGTCTCTCTTTATGACATGGCCTTCCTTGACGCGCATTTGCGCGTCGTCTGAGCGTTTTACGACGCGCAATGAGCGCCGTAAAAGGCTTTTTTCTAGTAGTGCATGTTTATAGCCCTTATATTTGCAAAGGTTTGTTTTATGTCTCGTAAGAAGTATTCATCATCTCGGATCTTGATGACCGTGTCGTCCATATATACCTTAATGTTTCTCCTCACTTGTGACTCAAACACTTTGTCTACCCGTCTTTGGTACGTTGCTCATATATTCTTTAGTCTGAATGGCATTTTTGTATACGAAAATGATCCTCTATCTATATGAAATGAGGTTTTTAATAGAGTCTCCTTTGAGCATGTGTATTATGTTATACCCCTTGTAAGCATCCAAAAAACTCTTCCATTTGTGTCTGTGCAAATATTCGAAGTTTTCATCTATGGATGGTAATGGGTAGTAGTCTTTCGGGCATGTGTTCTTTAAGTACATGAAATCAACACACATTCTCCACTTCCCATCTTCTTTCTTTACTAATATTGGATTTTCTAATAATGACACGAAAAGTGATTCTCTCATTATCCATGTGTTGACCAACGTATCTACTTCATCATTTATTACTTTATTTCTATCTTTTAACTGACCTCTCTTCCTCTGGTGGATTGTCTTGTTTCCCGGTTTATCATTTTATTTGTCTTCAATCAGTTTCCTTGGTACACCAGTCATGTTGGATTCCTGCCAAGAAAATACATAAAAAATTTCTTTTAACAACTTTGTCAGCCCTTCTTGTAGTGTAATTGCTAGTTCAGCTCCAACCCGTATTCCTTGCTTTGGATGTCTTTCATTTATTACAACTTCTTCTAAAGTCTCTTGTTTTAGTTTCGACACTGGCTTTGTTATTTCTTTTCAGACTGCTCAAAATCAGCAGAAAAGCTATGCCGACAAGCACCGTTTAGACTTGGAGTTCCAGTTCGGGGATATGGTTCTCCTGAAGGTGTCACCTTAGAAAGGTACCATCCGATTCAGGAATCGATGCAAGTTGGGCTCTAGGTACATTGGTCCCTTTAGGGTTACAGCCGGGTGGGCAAGGTGGCATATAGGCTGGACCTGCCATCCAAGCTTAACCAGATTCACAATACCTTTCACGTCTCCTACCTGCGGAAGTACCTGTTAGACGACTCTGCAGTGGTGCCTCTAGAGGATATTCAAGTGGATGACATCCTGAACTACATCGAGCGACCAGTAGCCATCCTCCACAGGAAGTCGAAGGATTTGAGAAACAAGAGGGTCGATCTGGTGAAGGTGCAATGACAACACCGCAAGGGCTGAGAATGGACTTGGGAGCTGGAGGAGAAGGAGAGGGAACAATACCCATAGCTTTTTCTGGATGCAGCAACAAACTTCAAGGACAAAGATTAAAATAAGTGGGGGAGATTTGTAACGCACGGTTCTTGGTACTTATTTTAATTATGAGTTTTTCATTTTATACTGGGACTTGACGAGTTAAGGCACAAAACTCGTCGAGTAGGGGCGAATTTTGGACGTGGGTGGAAGAGTCTACTCGACGAGTCGGAAACCCCGACTCGACGAGTAGATCTGTTTGAATGAAACCCTAAATTTTAGGGTTTGCACCCTATTTAAACAACTTATATGGCCTCCACTCCAGTCTCCATCACCCTTAGACGCTATTCTCGAAACCCTAATCAGTTTGTGAGTGTTGTTGAGCTTTTTGTGCCAATTTAGTTATTTGAAGCTTGGAGAAGGAAGGAAAGGATTGGATATCCAAGAAAACGACAGTAGATCAAGGGCTTTGGTTGGATTTCCAGCTTGTTTGAGGTAAAAAGATTCAGCCTTGGCTTTCCATCACTTAGATCTTCTTTAGGGTCTGCATAATGTCATTTTTGGGCCATTTCTAAGTTACTCTCGGGATTTGAGTGCATAATAGAGTAATGACTTCACATCTGAGAACATTTAAGCTCAGGAAGATCAAATTTGCGACCTTTATTGAGCTACGGCCCTATCCCATGCATTAGAATTCCTTTATTTCTTAGTTTCGGTGTTTTAGCTTCATAACACCCATGCACGCATGTAAAGTTTGTAACTTTACGTGCTATATCGACCCTAGGAGGCCAGATCTATGCTTTGGATGCAATAAGCCTGACCGAAATCGACTGTATGGACTTGGAATTTGGGGGACTCGGCGAGGCAGATCATGGTTCCCCAACCTTTTCTGTTTCTAAGAAATCTAGTTGAGTCTAGAAGAGGACTCAACAAGATGGACGTCAATATGGACTTGAAGGTCAAAGAACTCGACAAGTTCCAGGATAAACTCGGCGGGTTCAAGGCAATGTCCCGACTGATATGAAGAAGAACTCGACGAATTCAAGGAAGAACTCGGTGAGTAAAGGGCTAAACGTTCCAACTTACATGAAGCAGGAGTCGACGAGTTCAAGGATGAACTCGACGAGTCATGAGCAAAAGGTCCCGATTTTGTATGAAGGAGAACTTAACGAGTTCTTGAAAGACTTGACGAGTAGGATCGAAGTTCCAGTATTTTGTGGATTATGGAACTCGTCGAGTTGGTTGACCAACTCAGCGAGTTGAGTCAACCAGATGTTGACTTTGACCAAAAGTTAACTTTGACCAGGCGGTTGACCTTGACTCTGACTTTGACCTGAGTTGACCCTTGAAAGGTTTATGAGTATGAAATGGTAATTAAAGAAGGTTGTTATGTGTAGGAGTTTGAGAGGAGTTGATCCCAGCACTGAGGACAGTTTAGATACTACACGACATTGAGGTGAGTTACCTTCCAATAGAAGTGGGTCTAAGGCAACAATATCTGCCCACTAGTAGGAGTGATTGTGGATGATTGTATTCGTGATAATTATCTGGTCGACAGGGCCAAGAGGTAGGTCAGGCACCCCGGTATGCCTTACATTACTATTATGTTATATTTTTATGTGGTAGTAGTAATGGTGAAATAGTCCCCGTAATTGGTTGAGATAAATCGTAGGGGTAGGTCGGACACCCCGGTATGTCTGATAGGGGTAGGTTAGGCACCCCGGTATGCCTAGCAGTGGTAGGTTGAGCACCATGGTATGCTCAATAGGGTAGGTCGGGCACCAATATATGCCTGGTAGTATGTGTTATGTATGGTATGTCGTATGATGGGGGAACTCACTAAGCTTCGTGCTTACAGTTTTCAGTTTTGTTTTTAGGTACCTCTTCATCGAAGGGGAAGGAGCCGACATGGTAGCAACGCATCACACACAAGATTTCAGCATTATGAGATTCTTGGGATTGTAATCTAACATTATTACTATTTTATGATATGGCTTTGAGACATGTGGCTATGGTTTTATGAGATATTGTGACTCGATGATGTTTTCTTATAAGTGTTTTTTTTTCTAAATCTTTATATCAAAATGAAATTTTTGGTCTTGAAAATTAGGATGTTACAAGTTGGCATCAGAGCCTTGGTTTGAGGGATTCCGGAACAACTCTCAGGAGTGTCTAAACTCAAATCGAGGGTTTGAAATATTTTCACAAGAAAATAGTTTTTCCAAAAGTTAAAGTAAAGAGTTTTGAGAAAGAACAAGGTGCGTGA